TCGTTTATGTATGTGGTATCCTCAAGAATTTGGAGAGCTTCAACTATACCTTCCACAACGTAAAGATGGAGTCACTTAGCTTCTAGCAACACATGTATGTTTTCTACCCCAGTGGAATGGAATGCTGAGAAGATTGTCAATAGAGACACACCAGAGATGGTGTACTCTATCGATGTTACACCAAAGTCACTAAGTCTGCCTGAGTGACATGGTATTTTTCATATGACACAATGACACGTATATAAATCCGTCCATATATAAATCAGTACATGTATGGTCCGATTTCATGTCAAGAGTTTATCAAAGTATTGTCCTATCAATCAAGAGGAATCTTAGGATCATCACTTGTATCTACCCAAGGTTATAAACGGCTGTTTCGTCCGACTTTTTTTATTTTCCTTAAAAGTTGGAATTTTGAACAGCAGACGATTTGGATCATCTTCAATGTGTTAAAAGAGCCAGTCGGAACGTCAGGAATTGTTATGTTCTAAAGAGTGTCAATAGAAAAAAGTTTCTGGCACTCTTGGGGCTTATCTGCAATAGACAATTGCCTCGAAATGCATTCGACTTAAGGGCCAAAATCAAAAGCGGAAACCTAATAGGTGGGATGTGAATTGAAAACATTTTCCTATCTGAAATTTCTCCAAGAAACACAACACTCAAATTTTAATTATTTTTTATAAATATTTAATGGAAAAAATTGAATTTATACAAACATTTGGGATCAGTGGATGGATGTTAGGGAAGTAGGGTAAAATGCTCAATAAAAAAACAAAAAAACTGTAAGCAAAAAGAAAACGATATTAAAAAAAAAATAATTAAGCAACATAACAAACTAAAGGGCAAAAAACAATTGGCAATAAGGGAATATAAAAACTAAAATTAAATTAAATAAATTCAACATCATTTTACCATAATGATATTGTACTCACTATAAAAAACCAATACGCACACACACATACACATATATGCATTCACATACATAAACATTGATGTTATATAGAGCCGTATTCGTATGTATGTGATGAGAATATAATTTGGCCATATTGTTTGAGGTTTTTTGGTTTTTTGGCAACGAATTAGTAGAGAAGAAGTTCATAATAGAAGTAGTATAGAAGTAGACGAACATAAAAAAGTATCACAGGAAAAGTTTGATGTTTATAGTGAACATTTATGTTTTCTTTGTTTTTTAAGGAACATATATTGATTTAATTTATAATTTTATCTATTTTTTTGTTTTTTTTCTCATTTTTTGTTACATATTATTTTGTTTATAAATTATTTCTTGTTTTGTTCTTTGACATTTAACATAACACAAACAAAAAGAAGAAGAAGAAAAATACACAACACAAAATTATTAATATTAATGCCACTTAAGAACGTACGATCCCGGGAGTAACTAAAAATACACAAAAATCAATAAGAAAAAAAAATACACAAAACATTAATAAAAGAAATTAGTAAAAAAAAGTTTTTGTTTTTTCAAAATTATTAATCAATCGGTGTGAACCGATTTTAATACATAACCCAACATCAATTTTTTTAATTTTATCCTATTACACGATTTAGAAGCATACGGTTTCGATTTGTCCTAGTGTTAGTTCCATTAATCATGTCATTATTGTTATTTCAGATAAGTAAATGATTGGTCTAATGTAGCCTGGCCTAGGTGATGGGTCTGCCATCTATCGTTGTCTAGAAACAACGCGTTCTTAAATTGTGTACACTATTTGGAATTCTAGCTTATTTAGTGTAGCCATTAGGTGTCACCCTCATTTCTGATGATGAAACTGGTTTTAGAATGTCAGGGTCCTATTTGGCTTGACCTTCATATTTTTGTTGACTTCAAACGGCTGAAGGATCTCTTGGTAATATTTTCAATTCAATTTACAGGTTTCCAGCATGATTTTACGACAATGTGCCTGAAATTTACCATTATGGGTTCTCGAAGAGTGAGCTCCAAATAATTGCTACGGCCAATTTGATATATTTTGAAGATCCTAATCGAATTTTTAAACCCATTTCGGGTAACTTCTTCGAAGACATTTTTTATTTTAGCCATTTCATAACGGGCCTCTATTACAGTTCGTTTTAGATTTTGTGAAGTCCTTAGCCATATTCTCAGATAACAAAATGCTTTCTAACAGATATTTTTGTTATATAGAAAAAATTCTCATATTGGTAATATTTAAACTACACTAGGTAATATCACTGCTTGCAAATAGTGTCAATGACATATCATTCATATAACATTCCGCACGATCGTAACCTCTTTCTTAACTTGAAGTGACTGTCACGAGGCATTTCAAGTACTAACACAGTAAATTCTCCAGAGTAGAATATTAAAAAAAAAAAATCTATGAGTATTCACCACTCCAATTTTTGTTTATAGTTTCTACATGGGGGATTGGATGATCGAATTTCAACTAAGTGGTGGGTAAGGTATTTGTGGGTATTCGATCATAGTGCTGTCATATTATATTTTAGTTCAGAAATTGCCGGTAGATGACTCCTCCTGTTTTTAGCATTGACACAATCCATATGTGGTTAATTGTTTTAAACAAAACGTAATATGACACCATTTTAATCGAATGTCCACATATACCCTACTGTAGTAGACCAAATATACCATGATTCCTATCATATTACTATGGAAATTCTGAGCCGGTAACCGATACTTTAAGAGTGTTGACACCAAAATTTAGAAGAGGCTGCAATTTGGACCGCTTCTTCACAGATTTTTTAGTATAACTCCATGTTTGACATAACCCCCTCACAAAGGCCACGCATCATTTAAGGTATGTTCAAGTCATTGCCTAATTTCCCAAACTGAGTGTCTAAAGTTTTTTATACCCTTCACAACTGTGGTATAGGGTATTACGTCTTTGTGCATATGTTTGTAACCGGCAAAAGGAATCGAGATAGACCCATGGTTCCTTTTGAGAATATGCATAGAATCACTTTCTGAGTCCGTCCGTCTGTTGATGTTAAATTGTAAACAAAGTACAGGTCACATTTATAATCCGATTTGGATGAAATTTCGTACAGCGCATTTATTTGGTCCAAGGGCGAATCCTATTGAAATTGGTGAAAATCGGTTAAGATTTATATATGGCTCCCATATATATTTTCGTCCGAATTAATGTAAATGGTGCACCAAAGTCCCTTTATATTTTTCGATTTGCACGAAATTTGGCACAGCTTAATGAATTAGGTCTAGAATGATGTGTGTTAACTTTCCAGAAAATGGGTTCAGATTTAGATATAGCTCCCATATATATTTTCGTCTGATTTAAGGTAAATGGTGACAACCCTACGTCACCATTCTCTGGTATTATTTTGGACGGGAATTAGAAGCTATGGATCTGGATGGCATATGGTTTCAACAGGACGCTGACGGTCCCTTATATATTATGAAGTCCTTGTTGGAAACCCCTTTATTAAAATATTTTTAAAAAAAAAAGGCAAACCGAATGTTATTAATTATTCACACTATTAACCATCATAAAGTCTTACGATGAACATATAAAACTGATGTTGAGTTTAATACAAAAATCAAATTACAAATAAATACTGACGACAACTAAAATATTCAAATTAGTAAAATGAAGCACAGATACCAAATAAAAAATACCACAATAAATACAAATAATATTTATAATAATGACTAGAGTATAGAGTTAGTTCTTCATGTAGATTTAAAAAAAAAATACGACTATATTGTTAAGTACGTTTACTTCACAACAACATAATTATCATCATCATTATCGTTAAGATACAACTCTGTATTTTAGTACGGTGTTATCGACATTGTGTTAAACGGACATTTTTAGACATGTTTCTATTTAAGATCAAAATTCAAAAAATAATATCATACTCATTTTTCGGAGGGTGGGAAGGCATGATCTTGTAACAAAATATATGGGTGACAGCTTCATTTTTGGTGTTGTAGAAAATTTTGTTTGGAAAATCGATTGTTTTTTTTTAATACAGGGTTGTCTTTTATTTAGTAATTAGCATGAAATAATTTTGTTTGAGATATTTTTTATGTTATCGGATTTATTAAATTTTGAATTAGTTTTTTTTTTTCGTTTACAATTTAATCAATTTGTTGTTTCTATTTAACTAAAAGTCGAAAATGTATCAGGATATGTAAAAGCTATAAAAAAAATAAAATCAAAATATCCAAATTAACAACAAAAATATACAAAATAATTAACAACAAATATAACAAAAATAATCAAAATACTCGTTGTAAGCTTTTTACATTTTATGTGTTCGATTTTTTTAATAAAACATCTAAAATATGCACATAAATATTTATGTTTAATATTTTTGGAGGGGGGAATTGAAAAAATGGGAGTTTAACCAAATTTCATAGGGGATCTTCTAGTATATAATTCTGATACAACAAAAAGCCTTTCTAATATAAATTGTATTAATTATTAAAATATACAATACTTTAGTATTTGTATTAACTGTATAAAGTATTTAAAATAATTATAAACACTTTTATATATATATGTATGGTTAATTTTTTGTAAGAAATATAATTAAAATAAATAAATAAAATGAAAAATTGTCTGTTTTTGTACTTCGATTAGGAGGGTCTGAATAAAAAAATCGGTCTTTCCATCGAATTCGTGACCTTTCCCTTCTGCGTGAACTATAACTTGGCTCTCTTTTAAATGCCTTTTGAACTGAGGCATCCTCATCCATTCTCACAAAATGGTTCATTCCGTCGACGCAGATCTCTCAAACACTCCAAGAGCTGCATAATCTACAGATCCACACACCAGCACGAGTAGTTAAATTGCTTACACAGACCATAGTAGCATCTGTTGGCCAACACTACCCTTCTCCGAATTCCAAAACTGAAGTCATCAGTTTCATTTACGGTGATACCGAGGTATATAAAATCGTTGATACCCCAATGCTGTAGTTTTAAAGTTTCACAGTTGGTCCGAGTTTTCTGGACGTTTTGCGCGTTGACACCATAAGCTTGGTCTTCTCGGAAGGTTCAAAGGTGGCTGTTACCGATCTTAATTTTCGATGTCATCGGCATATGCGAGTAACATGTGCCTTCACATCTCGTATGACCTGGATGTTAAAAAGTTCAAACGAGAAACTATCACCTTTTCTGAAACCTCGTTCAGTATTGAAGAGCTCCCAGAGATCATCTCCTACATAGGCGTATTAATTAGCAGAAATTTCGAACGCAGACATGGCTTTAAACACCTTTGAGCGGATAGGGCTATCGAATGCGGATTTAAAGTCAACGAATATTTGGAATGTGTCGATTTGTTTTTAGTGGGTCTTTTCTAGGATTTGGCGCAGTGTGAAGATCTGGTCTATAGTGGATTTGCTAAGTCTGAAGCCGCATTGATAAGATCCAATAATATCATTGACTGGCTTCAGTCGTTCACACAGCACGGTGGATAGTACTCTATATTTCGTCTAGGATGGATGAAGAGATGTTATTAGGAGTGTTCAACAGACTTAGTCGCCACCTATGACTTATATACACTACAAATATTTGGCAGGATACAAGTGTACTTTGAATACCTAAGCCGAAAAAAATAATTGCTAAACACATTTCTACTTAAAACCATGGGTCTCTTAGTCCACAACATTATACAGGGCAATATCCTCAACAATACACTAACATGCGAACACAATGGTTCAATGATGAGGCTGGCATCTCTCGTTGCGTAGAAACAACACCTCCTTGCATTGGGAACATTGGTTGGTATCCTTGCTAATTCAGTGTTCCCGTTATCCTCTGGTTGGTGCAATATCCGCTAAGAATTATCGACCAATAAGTCTTTAATCATATTTCAACTGAAACCCATGTATCACCCCGGTACACCAAAATACAAACATCGTTAAAAAAAGACAGGTCAGTGTGAGCCTACCTGTTATCTCCTGTTGCTACTCTTGGATACTAAGGGCTTCCGCAAAGCATCTTAGTCTATTAGTAATTGTGTTAGTTTCGTGGATCGTTATTGTAGGATACCCAAGATTGGTCTGCAGCAACATGTCCGATGTGAGAAAGCTGTCATCTTTCTTTGCCTAGAAACAACCCATTCTTTAATTGGATACACTGATTTGTGTCCTTGCTTAATTAGGATTGAAATTCGCCTCTGAATGTCATTCCTATTTTGTATTTTCTTAATGTATTGATGCGGTGGTTGGTTATTAAAATATCAGGGGCCATCGAATGAATGCAATCGGGCTGTAGCAATCCTTTTTCAAATATTCGAAAATCATCTCACGTTACATAGTGAAAACGCCTCATTGAATTGTGAGCGGTGGTTGTGGTTCTTACTAATTTATACCGAGGTTGGTTATTAGAATGCCAGGAGGTTGTAACCCACTTTCTTCAAATATACGAAAATCACTATGAAATATTTTTTTCTTCTCTGATGGGATTCGAATCCCACTCGCAATAGTCATCTCAAGTGTAGGGAGTTATATGAGAGTCATTCTATAAACTATGCGTATATGAGCAAGAGGCCCATGGGTGATGGTCCTAATAACTCAACAAAAACGTGGGATTGATTTGTCACCTGCTACATAGCATTGACTTAGCACACAATGATCAAGGAAGATCCCATTGAAGCGTTCAAAACCCTATGTTGATAGCAAAATTATCAGAATTACTTTTGGACTTTACATAGGGCGCAAATATGAAACAACTGTGGTTAGGTGCATGTACGTATGGTATATTAGATTCGGATCTGTAAAAAGTTCGCCACTTCTAGTGGTCGAAGCCACAGATCAATGTATTAAAGATCTATTAATCGAGCTTTGTAAAAAAATAAATGACACCTATCATGTGAACCTTGCATGCATATTTGGCAGATTTCTTCGATTCAGCCATTCTCATCAATGACTGACCATCCTGACCAATGCAGCCACAGATCAACGGATCAAAAGTCTATAGATTGAGCTAAGCATTAAATAAATGACACGTATCATGCAAACCCTTCTTCTATTTGTGGCAAATGTCTTCAAGTCTAGTTGGATAGCTGGTGGGAATGACTGACCCTCCTGACCGATGAAGCGCTTGTGATCCAAAGCAGGAAGCTTTCAGCTTGCCGACCGCTTATGATTGACAATTAAGGGCTACGATTGAGCTCATGCATTTTAACAACTTGATGGAATGATTTTTTGGCTGTTTTTGCTAAATTGCCTCATGTCTTTTCGAAGGTGTCGAGGAGATGAATCCGGAAACACAATATAATAGTTGAGATCCGTGGACAGAACTCTTGCCTCCTGATGTAAATAGTCCACAATCGCCATCTGGATACATCCGTCTCTGCAATTGCGTATTGAAATTTGGGAAATTTGGCATACGTGAAGTTCCTAAGTATGGGACGGAACTGACATATTGGCGAACCTGATAAGTATAGGAATAAGTTTACTAAAGCCACCATTTATCTCCTTTGGCTTTTTTTCCTATTAAGTATTTCATCTTTCACTATTAAAAATTTGTAACCTGAGACCGAACCGCATTCGTCGAGATATTTCAATCGAAGTACAAAAACAGACGCTAAAATAAAAAAGGTTTCTCTGCCAATTTGTCAATCAAAAGCATTGAACAATCAGTAATTTAATAATTTTTTGATTGAAAGAATTTCGTATGAATTTTGTAGGCAAATTAAAAAAAAATAGTTATTCAAAATTTGTTTTTGAACGTATATGTTTTGTGATGATTTAAAAGATGTTCCAAAAAAGAATATGTGTAAGAAATTCAGTTATTATTGTTATGTTTACCTTGGTCCCAATCGAATTCTCTATCCCAATCTCTTTCTCGTTCTCTCTCCCATTCGCGGGCCCGTTCACGTTCCCATTCGAGATCGCGTTGACGTTCGCGCGGTGTTCTACGTCCTTTTGTGAATTCATTGTCCCAATAGTCGCGTTCATAATCTTCGTCTCGTTCGCGTTCACGACTTGTTATGTCACGATCGCGACTACCCTCACGTTCTATTGAGCCCATGCGATATTCACGTTCATCTTCGCCCCCATCAACTAACGAATTTTCAAAAATATAATCATCCGAGGATGCATTGTATAGATTCGAGATTTGAAATTTTATAAAAAAAAATAAAGAGAGAACGAGTTGGATTGTTTCGATTGTATTTGGTTTGGTATGGTTTTATTTTGTTTTACACATTGTTATATAGTTTTTTTTTTCAATTAATAAAAATAAACAATAAAAAAGTAGAATAAACATAATTTACAAAAATTTGTTAAAAAAGTGTCAGTATATATTTATTTCTATACGATAAATAAATAAATTAAACTTAAAATTAATGGAAAATGTATTTAATTTTTTTCGTGTGATAGAGCGAAGGTGGTTGAGTGGTTTTGTTAACCTATTTTTTGGAATTTTATAATATTTTTGTTGTTGTTTTGTTTTTTATAATGCCTAAACTTTTATTATTTCTTATTCTCATTAGTTATGGACGACTTAAATGGCATGAAGTCAGAAAAATAAATTAAAAAAATATCTATGCAATAGTTGTGCTTTTGTCACATAACTTACCTGGTGGCGTTGGACCCAAACGGGCCTGATCTGTGGTAGGTGAAGCTTCCTGAGGTATTGGTCTAGGTATGGATTGAGCCGTTGTTATTTCTGGATGTGTGGCTTTCCAATAGGTCTAAAGAGCAAAAAGAAAGAATATTAAATAAATTAATTAACTTATACAAAATCATAATGCAAATTTATATAGAATTTGACCGAAACATTTATATTAAGGGTAGATCCATAATTCCATGACATTTCCCTTGAAGTGATAACAAATGAAAATTAGAAAATGATAAATTCGACCATCCTGCCTCCGCAACAAGAATAGTAAAATTGCGGATTTTCGGAATCGAAGAACTATTATATATATTATATCTCTATTGAATGTATATGGATAACAGTAGATTGTGGAACTGCTGAGGAAGAGTCCCACTTCAGGTACTAGGTGATTTCAATATCAATAATGAGTTGCGGTATTCCGTCCAAGTTAATGAACAATTGATTCCTCATAATTTTACAAGGCGAATGAGGATACCCACAACGACGAATGTGAGATGCTAGTATGCGAGCATAAAAAAATGCTAGACTACATGAAGCTATACAACATTGTGATCGGAACAAGTAAATTGTAGGAAAAGGTTAAGTCACTTTCGAACCCTGGACGGATTACTGCTGATGTTGAGTACCACTTCTGGTACTAGGGGATTTCAATGTCAATATTGAGTTACTATATTCTGTCCAAATTTATGACTAATTAATTGCTCAAAATTTTGCGCAGTGAATGAGGCAACCCACAAGAGAGAACTTATTCTTGAAGTCGATAGACTAGAATGCCAGCATAAAAACTGGCTAGACCACATGAAGCAATACAACATTGTGACCGGAAAAAGTAAATTGTAACTACGGTTAAGACACTCTAGAACCCGACTTAACTACGACAGATCGGAAGAGCTTCGCATGTTGTTTTAACCTGCAGTTTATAGAGCTAATGGAGATTGGCAGGACGAAGAATAGTGTGCTATTGGTATACGAGCCCACAATTTGTAAAGGAAAATTCAGAAATTGGACGGAAGTACTATGGCAATACTTAAGCAATTGAACGAATTTAGAGTCGAGTACTTAAATTCAGCCCTCAAATTGTCGTTAGACATCCACATAGTTCCTGAAGCCATGTCGTCCAGCAAAGGTGAATTTTAGGTAAACATTTGAGACGATATTCCTCTCAATGTGGAGTGTTCGAGTTGAGCAAGATAAAAATGGGTTCGGCAAAATGCACAGTACTACAATATCATAGGACATACATATAAGTAGATGACTGAACCAGAACAGACAGTGCAAGCAAACTTTTATGGAGGCTATTGACCTATAAAAGGCTTTCGATATCGTCAACCAGGCCAAATTGTTCGAGGACACAGCGAAAACCCATCTCTGGCCTCGACTGAAACGCTGGATATTTAACATAAGTTGATTCATTTATAATACTCAGAAACTTATTTCGAAGACCCGTACAGTGAAACGGGAAGTTCCCAAAGGTGAAATGATTTCTCCGGAAATGTTTAACCATCCATATTCCAAAATCACCGGCAATTAGGGTGCTGAAAAGGATGTAAGGTATGCGGAGCCAGTGTGAAATTGTAAGTGATACTAAGTAGAACAAGATTCTGACCTAATGAAATGTCGCTCTAAGATCTGCTGCATGGTGTCTTTTCTTGGGGAGACGAAGATGATACGGTATCGTCCAAAAGTCGCTGATACTCGTTTTTGGCCACAAACTTTTAATGTCAATTAAAATTAGTTTAATATAAAAGGCACAGTCAAGAGGTCCCCTTGTGGTCATACAATAAACTAATCTGAAAATACAGTGTTGAGAACCCCTAGCACCAACAGTCTACACTAAAAATTATTACTGTGACGTACGTGTAATAAGCGGGTATCGGTTTAACAGCCTGCCACCAGCAGGTATAAAAGATGTGGCTTTGGTGATAATCGGGACAATCTTTGGCCTGAGCCTTTGGCTGGAGAAGTAGTTAGTTATAGTTTGCGAGACGATCCCTCGAGTTGCGAGATTATCCCTCGACAACGAGTGGAATTAGCTGTAGAGTATTCGCTGTCTAGTCGAATTTGGTTGCAAAACGAGACCTGTGCTACCAGTGCTGTTGCCTAGTCGAGTGTGATTGAAAAACGAGCTCTTGGCTGCTACTGTGCCAAACTGACGCCAACATTCTTTGTCCGGTCACCGCTCATTGAGTTGCTGCTGTACCAAACTGCCGCCAAACTTTTGAGTCCCGTCACAGTTTGTCGGACTGCCGCTGTGACAAACTGTCTCCTATTTCCGTACCGTTCATCATTTTGCGCTGTGCCAATAGCACCGTTCGTCGAACTTAATCTGGCACCAATCTAGGTGGAATAAATGTCCACCGAGTGGCTACAGGGTTGCCCATATTCGACGGACCCATCCAACGCCATAACTTTTGACAGAGATGTCACATCGCTTAATGACATACCGTGTTTGAAGCGTCAGTCCAAGCAGATTTTTACCATGAACCAATACACGCCACGCGAGCGCTCTGATATAGTTGAAATTTACATTCACCAGAAGAAGTCAATTGTGAAAACTCAACGTGCTTTTAAAACATTAAAAAATGTGAGAAGTGCGCCTTCTAAGAACACCATTAAGCGTTTATACGAAATATTTTCGACTGGTAAGGCTCTTTCTAATCCGAAGAGGCCATATAAAAGTCGACCACGGCGATCGGCCGAGAATATCGCTGCCGTACGAGCCAGTGTTGAGAGGTCCCCAAGAACATCCCAAAAACGCCGTTCTCAGCAGTTGGGCATGGCTCGGTCCACTTTAGAACGGATTATTCGCATTGATTTGCATTTGTTCCCGTACAAAATTCAATTGACACAAAGAATGTTGCCTGCGGACAAGCCTCGTCGATTGGATGGGCCCAAAGACTCGTCGAAATGGCCGAAGATGACGAGCAGTTTTGGTTTCTACAAGACGGCGCTCCACCGCACACAATTCGCATAACAATTGGTTTTATGAAGAATTTGTTTCCGGGCCGTTTGATGTCGAAAAGTGGTGATTTGGACTGGCCACCGCGTTCGCCCGATTTGACGCCGCCTGACTTCTTCTTGTGGGGATATTTGAAGTCAAAGGTTTACGTTAACAAGCCAAGGAACGTAGAAGAGCTCAAGGACAACATTCGTGAAGAAATAGCCATTCTTCCGGCCGAAATGTTGGCAAAAACGATGGAAAATGCAGCAAAAAGTGCACAATACGTCATCAATGCCAGAGGCGGCCATTTGAGAGATATCCTATTCAAAAATTGATGTAAACAAATCTAATTGGAACAAATTAAATGATTAACATTGCCAACCGCCAAATTTTTATTTTTTTCTTTGATTTTTTTTTAACATGGGTCCGTCGAATGTGGGCAACCCTGTATAATAGAAAAACATCTGCCAACAGTCCTCAGACACCATTCGTATTCATCCCATGATCTCGTGCCAAAACTACTTCTAACACAAACTATCAAAACCTCGTTCCGTGACTCGAGTGTTGTCCATGTGTTTTTTATATCTACAATATTAACATTATATTTTGAATAGGATACCGAATGACATGTTTTTGCGATATGTATCACACATTTAGGTTTGTCAGATTTCATGGTTCTCAAAAAATTATACGCCTGCCACACACCACCAAAATCATTAGAGAGTAATATTTGTAAAGTCTGCTTTAAATGTTTCAAACACGTCAAATCGAGAAAAAACAAGTGAATAAGCGTTAAGTTCAGCCGGGCCGAACTTTGGATACCCTCCAACATAGATATACTGACAGGTACTAGAAATGAAAATATAGGAAACATACCAAAAAGTAGACCTATATCGACATTTCTATGTATGCCTCATCTAAATATTGGTTCTAGAACCCATGTTTCTTTGGACAAAATCCGTTAGAGAAAATTTAGATTTCATCAAAACTTTGCCCATTATATTATTTCTACCAAACTTAATTCACATTCGAAGATGGGGAATATCGGTCCACTCCTCTCTGGTACCTCCCACACAGGGCCTAGGTCTAAATACGGGTTATAGTTCATTATCGAACCTTACATTCTAGTTTTTTATCTCGATATCATCCGTAGGTGATATGATTACAACAGAGTCTTAAAACCAAACCCAAAACGCGGAACAAATTGCATAACTATTTTAATATAAAACCAGT